GGGGATACGGGGCATCTCATCCGCTCCGTCCCAAAAGTAAAGAAAAAACTTTTGGGACTCCGCAGAGAGTTCTACCCACCCCTGCCGGCTCTATCTCCGTTTCCTCATGGAAACAGAGTTTTTTCGAGCCGCCATTCCGTTGTGAAGGCAGCTCTGACAGGCGATGGAAGCTGACGATCCCAAAGGAACGTTTGGCAGCCTACAAACTTCTTTTTTAGAGGGGAAAATTAAGGGAGTGTCTGAAGAGATGGCAGAAATTAAAGAAGTCATAGAGATTCGGAATAAGGAAATAAGAGAAGAAATAGTAAGGGCATTTCAGGGCCTGGCAAAACACATTGAATTGTTGGATGGAAGAGTAGAAGAAATTAATCAGTCCAATCTGAATTTGGAAAATAAAATGAATGAAGTTCAGACCAAGGTGGACAGGGCAGACGATGAAGTGGTGATGTTACAGTATAGAGCGATGGAATTTGCCCTGAGAGTAAGAGGTCTGAGAGAACACAATCGAGAGAACTTGAGAGAGATCGTTGCAGAGGCTTTTGCAAAGATAACTGGGGAGCAACAAGCAGATCTCTCATTGCAAATTGACAAAATATATCGTGTTAATTCCTGGTTTGCTAGACAGAATCAATTGCCAAGAGACATTGTGATTAATTTTACAACGAGGACGACCCAAAATGAAATTTTACAAGCTTTCTATAAAAATAAACTTCAAATTGCAAGACAAGAGGTTTTAGTGTGAAATTCCCCCAAAAATGTTGAGAAGCAGAAAGGAGTTTGCTTTCTTGGTGGATGAACTTAGAAATCAACAGATTCAGTTTAGATGGAATGTTCCAGCTGGACTGGTGGTGAATTATATGGGAGAAAAGTATCGTCTTAACACAATTAAGTACCTTCGAGACCGTCTTCTGCCACCAATAGCCTCCCACGGGCCAGTCCGCTCCCACAGAGAGGGTCTCCTCAGGGTGCCATCGGCCAAGTCATGTCGGCTGGCGACACCCAGGGGGAGGGCCTTCTCTGTGGGAGCCCCAGCCCTGTGGAATGAACTGCCCCCGAAAATTCGTAAGATTTCTGACCTCCGGGTATTTCGCTGCGCACTCAAGACCCTATTGTTCCGCCAGGCTGGGTTAGCAACATAATTTTAAATTGGATGTTTTAAATTTTTGGGGTTTTAAATTAAGCCAAATTTATTTAATACTTTTAAATTATTTTAAATTGATGTCTATTCTGTTTTTAAATAGGCTGTACACCGCCGAGTCCTTCGGGAGAAGGGCGGTATAGAAATAAAATTATTATTATTATTATTATTATTATTATTATTATTATTATTATTATTAAACAGAAACTTTTAAAATTGAAAAAGGAACAAGACAGGATGCCCTTTATCACCGTTATTGTTTATTTTAACTTTGGAACCTTTATTGAATAAAATACGAGGGTCAAATAAAATAAAGGAATTGTTTTTGCTGGGCATAATTACAGATTGTACGGTTATAGACTAAATTGATTTTAAATTTAATAACTGCAGCTAGACTTTTGGTGGCGCAATATTGGAAGAAGGAAGATTTGCCTACTATTGAAGAATGGACATTAAAAGTAGCGAATCTGGCAGAAATGGCGAAGATTTCAGCATATTTGAAAGATCACTCTCAAGAAAGATATATATTGGAATGGAGAAGATGGATTGATTATATTCAAAACAAATATCAGACTAAAAAGTATCAAATAGCTTATGAATGAATAGAAAAATTAAGAGTATTTATGTTTAGTTAGTAAAAGGAGAGTTAAAGTGTGAAGGGGGGGATAGGAATCCTTAGTTTATTAGCTTAGTTTAGCATATGATTGTTAATTGTTATACCCTGGATTTTGTTCTGGAAAGTTCGGGGTGGGGGTGGGGGTAAGGAAGGGAGGGGGGGTGGGGAAATACTTGTAAAAAAATTTTTGTTTTTTTTTCTTTCTGTAAAACTCTTTAATAAAAAAAAAAAGAAAGAAAATTGTGAATGGAGCTTTTTAATATTTAAGCGATTGTACCTATCTATGACCCGATCGAGACTTCGCTCTTGAAAGATATATTTTATATTTTATGTTGAAAAAAAATAAAAAAAATACCTTTTTTAAAAAAAAGAATAAATTGAAAACATCTGTTGTAATTGTGGATCTCACAGCAGCATACAATACAGTATGGGCTGTAGGACTATGGGCCGCCTAATAAATAACATGCTTTCAGCAAGGACCTTTCAAGTTATTATGGGTGACAAAATCACTAAACAATGACACCTGAATAACGGACTCCCTCAGGGCTCCGTGCTGGCCCCATCTCTATTTAACTTATATATTTCCGATATAGCACCCACGCTATCAACAAAGTTCTCTTATGCTGATGACCTGGCATTACATATAGCCACAAGGACATCAAAGCTACAGAAGCCATACTTACAGCCCACTTTACAACTTTGAGCACATACTTCCACCAATGGAGGTTAATCCCAAGCGTAAGTAAAACAGTTACATCATGTTTTCACCTTAACAACAAATTGGCAAAAAAAGAACTCAATGTATACTTAAACAACAAACTGCCCCAATATGAGGCAACACCAAAATACCTGGGGGTTACCTTAGACAAGACTCTGTCTTTTAAAAAACATATTCAGAATATGGCTGCCAAGGTTAACAGCAGAAATAACATTCTACAAAAACTATGCAGAACAACTTGGGGAGCTTCAGACACAACTGTTCGATGTGCAGCCCTCGGGCTTTGCTACTCTGCAGCGGAATACTGCGCACCTGTATGGATAATTACTGGGTGCATAAAATCTACTTAGTTATTGGCTACCAGTTCTTAGTCACATACTTCCCCCGCACTAACGAAAAGAAGCTCTCATTCGGGAGTATAGTAAGATCCTGTTAAATTCCTCTCTACCCATTCATGGCTACATTCCTGATCTCTTAAGATGCCGATTAAAGTCAAAAAACCCACCACTCTTGACAGCGCTTAAGCTGCTGGCCGATCATCAGAACACCACACAAAAGTGGATGGAAGTGTGGAGTAGCTATTCCCCCCAAGATATCTCTGAGCATATTAATCCTAATAGTATACCTCCAGGATTTAATCTACCCCGACACATAATGGGTGACATACAATAGAATTCGAACGACTCATGGGGTGTGAGCCAACTCCTTGTATAAATGGGGAAAGATACCTTCAGCACAATGTGATTGCGCCCCCCCCCCCACAGACTATCCAACATATAGTGAGGGAATGCTCTAACAGAAGGTATCCAGGAGATGTTAGGGACTTCCTCTGTGTAACGACAGCTACTGACTGGATCTTCAAACTCGACATTAAACTCTGAAATGTTATTTCTGTTTTCCTCTTAGGTTTTCTTACTTTTTTAAAAAAAATGTTTTGTTTTAACCTGTAAAAATGAAGTGTTTTAATATTGTGTGTGACCAGCCATACGCTAAATAAATAAACCGGGAGCTCCTTGGGCTGCACATACAATACTGTTAGTGTGTGAGCTGCATTGGTTGCCAGTTTGCTTCCGGATCAAATTCAAGGTGTTGGTAGTTACCTTTGAAGCTCAGGGTATCCAAGGAGGAGACTAGCCCAACCCCTCACAGCAGTGGAAGATGCTATGGATATCCTGCTATGGATCCCATCTGTTCAGGAACAGAAGCAGGCAGGTCAAGGAGGAGAGTCCTTTCTGCTGTGGCCGTGTGTCCCCCACTCCCCAGGTGAAAACTGCCCCCTCCATTTTGGCCTACTGGGAGGGAGTCAAAACTTTACCCGCTGACCTTGGGCCCCAAGGGGGGCAGTAAAAAGTCCTCATTCCCATCCCATCCAGCTCTTGTAGGCATGGTTATAGTGCAGCTTTTAATAACATTTTAATGTCAGCTCCTTTTAATCTTTAAATTATTTTTCACTTGTTTCTATCATTTATAAGCCACCCAGAGTAGGGGAGATGGGTGGCACAGAAACCTAATAAATAAAAATAAACAGGGAGATGAAACGGGATCCCCCCAGATCCTGCCTGGGCTCCGTTCCCGTCACTGCATTATTGTTTAGCTCTATGAATGCAACCAAGAGGGCTGTACCCACGGGAGACCCTCGGCGAGTCCCTCCCTTCACCTACACACAGCTCCCTCCACTGAGGGCCACAGATGCAGTCCCATGGCTTCATCAAGGAGGCAGCTACCATCAGCCTCTCAAAGGCCGATCTTTGCCGGGTTTTGACCCTCAATGCCATCCGCAAAGGCTGATGAGTCTCTCCCGATGGCTCTCCACAGCCTCGAACCCTGGACCCCATCTAACAAAATGAAATTCAACCTAGAGGAAAGGTTACCCTTCTTAGGCAAGGAAAACCCACCGCATAGGTCCAGGTTAGGCGAAACCTGGCTCAACCACCGCAGTAAGTGCAGAGTTACTGGGCCGCATTAACAGAGGGGCAGAAGCGGGATCCGAGGCGAAGGGTTAGCGGCCCGCTTGGAATGTCCGGTTCTGGTCACCCCAGTACAGAAAAAGGGCGGAGGCCCTGGAAAGAGCGCAGAGAGAAGCAACCGGGAGGACCCGGGAGGCTAAAAGGCACCAGGAACGGTTGCAAGAAGCGGCTGAATCCGGTGGACTGAAAAGGGGGCCTGGGGGGCGTCCCAGCGTTTGAGGGGCTGCCCCGAAGAAGGCGGGCGGGACCAGAAGGCAGGAGCGAAGGCAGGAGCGACGGACGGAGAGAAGCGGCCTGGAAGGAAGGAGGGAATTCCGGCCACTCAGGACAACCGGCCTTCTCCATCCCGGGAGCTTTTGAAGAGGAGGAGGCCGGAACGGCATCAGGGCTCCTGCCTGCGAACGGCGGTTGCGCTACAGGGACGCCCGACTCTCCTTCGCCTAGGAAACCGGGATTTCAACGCGGGGCGGGGCGGAGGGCCGAGACGAGGCGCGGCCTGCAGCGGCCCTCTCAGTGCCGGAGGGAGCGGGAGCCCCCCCCTCCCCCTCGCGCGGGGCGTACCTGGAGGCGGAGGTGGCGTCGGGCGGGAGCGGGTTGCGCAGCGTCACCAGGCACTCCACAGCCTCCCCGGCCAGGAAAGCGGCGCCCCGCAGCAGCGACGCCGACACCTCGATCATGGCCGCGGAGGGCGGGGCCGGCCACGTGGACGGGCGCACGCGCACTCGCTCTCCGGGGCGGGGCCGTCGGTCCGGCCCCGCCTCCTCCGCTTTCCGACTGGGTGCCGCCGGTGGCTCCGCTGCGCCGCGCCGGCCGATCCCGCCATGGCGTCCGGGGGCTGCGCGGGCTGCGGGCGGGGCGCGCCCGGGGAGGAAGCGGCGGCGGCGGCGGCGGAGCTGATGAGCCGCTACGAGGGCCGGGCGGCGGGGCGCGGCGTGCCGCGGTTCGGGTGGCGGCTGTGCCTGGCCCACCGCTTCGCCGAGCGCAGGAAGCCCCTGCAGGCCGGCGACGTCTCCCCCGCGCACGCCCTGCGGCACCTGGGGCTGGCCTTCAGGTAGCGGGCGCCCCTTCCCCGGGGGGGGGGCGGGGCGCCCCCCCCCCCCCCCGGCTGACGCTGCCCCCCCCCCCCCGCAGGTACCTCGGCTGGTGGTACCGGAAGACGCGCGTGGAGAAGCGGCAGCCCTTCATCGACCTGCTGCAGCCGCAGCCGCTGCGCCCGATCTACGGTAGGGGCCGGCCGGGGGGTGGGGGGCAGCGGGGCCGGGGAAGCGCCGTCCCAACGGCTCCTCCAAGGCCGGCCGTCCTTCCTTCCCTCCCTCTCCGCAGGCTGCCCGCTGGGGGGCCTGGGCGGCGGCACCGTCACGCGCGGCTGGCGCGGGGACTTCTGCAGGTGGCAGCTCTCGCCGGGCATGTACCAGCACCGGGCCGTGGCGGCGGACCAGGTGGGTCGGGCGGGGAGGCGCGCCCTGGGGCTCCCCCGGTGCGGCTCTCGGCTGCGGCGCCCTGACCGCCGGCCTCTCCCTTCCCGCCCCAGTTCACGGTCTGCCTGCGGCGGAAGGGCCGGACGGTCTACCAGCAGGTGCTCTCCCCCGAGAGGCCCAGCCGGCTGCAGGGCTGGAACTGGGGCTTCTGCGGCCACTACGCCTTCTACCACGCGCTCTACCCGCGCGCCTGGACCGTCTACCAGCTGCCCGGCCAGGAGGTGGTGCTGACCTGCCGGCAGATCACGCCCGTCATCCCGCACGACTACCAGGTGAGCCCCCCACCAGCCCCCCTTAATGGGAGCGCCCCCTGGGGAGGAAAGCCCCGCCGCACCGGCACCTGCATCGCTGCCTCCTGCCCCTCCCCCGCTTGGCTTCCCAACCACACACCTGCTGGAATTAATTGCTCCAGCAAATTTCCTCATCCGGAGAGAACATCCCGCCCTGGGCTGTGCAATTTATAATCAGCCTGTCAAAATCTGGCTGTTGAGTAATTACATAAAGTGTAACTTCACGCTTGAGGTTTCAGTTTAGAAGGTAGCTGATCCAGCGAGTAGAGTGGCTATAGAGGGGCTCCTCTAGGTGACCCCCACACTCCACGCCCCCTCTCCCTGGCCCTTTTCCAGTCCATGGAGGCCAAGGGCCAGCGTGAAGCCACAGGGAAGGAAGGGCTCAGCCAGAAAGAGCAGTATTGCCTGGGCAGAAGGGAGACGTCTCCCCTCGAGCGGGACAGCCTTGCCGTCCAGGAAAGGCAACCTTCGGAGAACCTGCTGCTGTGCCCCTTGGGGCTTTAAAGCTGATCGTTAGCACTTCAGATTGCGCTGGGAAAGCACAGCAGGGGCAGAAAGCACAGGCAAGCCCAAATTACATGCACCATCATGTTCTGGACTGGTTGAAATTTCTGGGGGGTCTTTGATGGTCGTCTGATGTGCAGAGTATTGCAGGGATCCAAAGGGAAGCAACTGGGCTGTGGATAAGCTTGAGCAGGGCCTCCCGGTCCAGGAATGGGTGCAAGCAGAGTGCAAGATAATCGTGGACAAAGATCCCGCTTACCACGGCTGCCACTTCTTCCCCCAGCAGGAGCCAGAAGTCCAGTGCTTTCCCATCGAGAGTTAAGGGTAACAACTCTCCAGATTCTGGGGAGACCCAAATGCCCAGAGCCCCTCTTATCTTGCTAGGATTGAGTCCCTGCCAATTCCCCCCCTGCCCTCCCAACTGTCCCAGCTTCTGGGCACTGGAGATGCCTCCGAAGATGCTTAGGGCAGAGTTGCAGAATCGAGGGTCATCCTCACTGTATTAAAGACCCCCATGCTGTTGAATGACCTCCCCTAGGAGTTCATGTAAGTGGAAAGAGAGCTGAGAGATCCCACACGCACAAACAAAAGGGCTGGGCCTTTCCATGCCCCCCCAACTCAACTGATTCCAGGCAAGGAGGAAGAAGAAGCTCTCAACGTGGAACACCCCCACTCCCTTCCTCCACAGTAACAGGATACCATGGCTGATGGCACCAAAAGCCTCGGGGTGGGCCAGGAACAGGGGTGAAATGCTCCCGGTTTGGACCGGATCGCCCGATCCGATAGTGATGACGGCGGGTGGTTCGGAAAACCAGTAGCAAAAATCTCTGCCGCCCCCCCCCTGCCCAGTTGAGCTGTGCAATCATCAGAGGCTTTTTTTTTTTACTTTTAAAAGCATTTTTTCTACAATCTCTTCAGCCAAAAAAATACTTTTAAAAGAAAAAAAAAACTGATGATCGCGTGGCTCAGCTGGGATCGTCAGAGGCTTTTAAAAGCATTTTTTTTACAACCTCTTAAGGTTGTAGAAAAAATGCTTTTAAAAGTAAAAAAAAAAACAAGTTGGCCAAGCCCACCTAGTCACATTACCCGCCCACCAAGCCATGCCCACAGAACCAGTAGTAACAAATTCATCTGACTTTACGATCTCTTCTGCCACCGTGGTTAAGTGAGTCACTGCAGTTATTAAGTGAATCATACCGATATTAAGTGAACCTGGCTTCCCCCATGTTGGGAGTTGGCTGGGAAAGTCGCAGAAGGGGTCACATGGCCTCAGGAGGCTGCTGCCATCGTAAAGATGTGCCGGGCGCTGGAATCCGGATGACCTGGCCGTGGGAATGCTGTCATGGTTGCAGGCAAGAATTACCAGTTATAGGTCATTTCTTTCAACGCCATTGTAACTTTGGCCACTAAACGTATGGTTCTAGTTTGAGGATTGTCTGTACATGGGACGGTCAATGCCTTCTAGCCAAAACTAGATATGTCTTCTGGATTTGGGGGGTGGGGTGGGGGTGTTAGCTTCTTATTCTGGTCACACTCAGGTGCTCCTGCAAGGAAGATGGGGCAGAGGGGGGTGGATGAGGCTGGGCCGCCCACTGGTCTGACCTCAGACGAGCCCCCCGTGTTGCGTCCTTAGGACTCAAGCCTTCCTGTGGGCGCTTTCGTCTGGGAGGTGGAGAACGAGGGTGCAGAGGAGGTGGAGGTCTCCATCATGTTCACCTTCCAAAATGGCACGGAGACCAAGGAAGACCGCCGGGGCGGCCATTGGAACGAGCCCTTCAGCGTGGAGAAGGGCGGTAGCTGTGTCCGTGGGGTGATGCTGCACCACGTGACTCCTGCAAACCCCTACACGCTGGCCATCTCTGCCCGAGAGAAGGTAGGCCCCCCCGGAGACCCCGCAAGGCTTAGAAACGGTCCATGGAAGCCACTGGGACAGGAGCCTTCCATGGTCTTTGGGGCTGTCTCTTGCAGGCTGGCAGAGAGGCTTCTTGGAGCGCCAACAATGCCCCATTGTGGCTTCTTTGCCACATCCCTACTTACAAGGCCCACGTGGTGGGTGCATTCCCCACCTCTGGTGCCTCTGGGTTCTAGAAGGCCCCCTTGCTAGTACCCCACCTCCCTCCCCTCAGTCTGTTCTGGAGCTACCCTCTCATCGCCCATGGCTGCCCTGCTCCATTGCACCTCCCCGCCTCTATCTTCACCTCTGTCTCTGGGGAGGGAGGGAAGGGCCTGGCTTTTTATTCCCCTCTATCCTTCCCTTCTTTCTTGCCCCCCCCTTTCCCCCCAGGCAGGTGTTGCTGTTACCCACCTCACGGCCTTCAATCCTGCTGGCAGCGGGCAGGAGGTTTGGCAGGATCTCTTGGCGGATGGCCGGCTGGCATCTCCTCATGGTGAGCCCTGGGCTGTAAGGTGGGCAGAGGAAGGCAGGAGGCCAGGTCCCTGATGCTCAGGGCTCTCTTGCAGGTCAGAGCCCCCCCACGGAGAAGGGGGAGGTATGTGCAGCAGCAGTGTGTGCCACGTGCGTGGTAGCCGGTCACGGTCATGGGGTGCTGGAGCTGGGCCTGGCCTGGGACATACCTCGCATTCGCTTTGGATCGGGGGAGAAGGAGCATCGCAGGTGGGAGCTTCCTGGGAAGGGCAGACTCCCGGGGGTGCCTCTGTGCTTTGGGGGTGGACCTACTTTGGTGAACCACACAGCTCTGCCTGTGGGGAGGTGCCCAGGGCTGTGCCAGCATGCAGCACACTCATGGAGCTAACTCTAACCTGATCCAGAAAATGGGGCTGTCTCAGGACCACACTGCAGGGTGGGGAGGGGGGGGGGGCAGCCCTGCTTGGCACAGACCTGGGCATCCTATGGCCTGTGGGTCTATCTGGCTGTCCCTGTCAGGCCTGTGGAGCAGGGGCAAAAGCCATGGCAGCAGCCACGCCACAGTCCCAGTTTCCCAGGCATCCCCTTGGGAAAATTGCTTCCCCCCCCCTCAGTCTGGAGGGTCCTCTGTGTGTGACGGGGACACCGCCTCTTGGCCGGGCCGTCTTCCCGACTGATGCTCTGGCTGGCTGAGGGTCCGTCTTCCTCTCTGCCCGCAGGTGGTACACCCGCTTCTTTGGCAGCGACGGGAACGCCTGCCCAGCGCTCTCCCATCATCTGCTCAGTCGCTACAAGGTCTGGGAGGAGAGGATTGAGGCCTGGCAGGGGCCCATTTTGGCAAACAGGTAGCGAGCGCCCTGTGGGTGAGGGGCTTTGAAGTGCAGGAAGGTGCCCAGCGCCAGAGTTTTCCTGCTCTCCCTTTGCTGAGGTGCTGCCATGGTCCACTCTGGCCAAATTAGGCTGCTTCCAGGCTGTCTCCTCCATCCCCCCGCCCCTGGTTGTTCCCCCCTGCCTGGGGCTGTCCAAACTCTGTGAGGTTGGGGGTGGGGCTGCTTCCCCCCCATCGGCTCTGCCTTGTTTCTG